CATGCTCGCCTTTCGAAGCTCCTTCGTGGTTGACATCAGCGATGCAGTGGCGTGCGTCCTGTCGCTACGTACAGCTGCTTGGACGAATTTAATGGGACTAGAACACTGTATGCGTAGGATGACGCCACTCATGCTCGCAGTAATGTAGTGATGTGGTTGCACATCGAAAGGACGGTCGTGCCCCCGTACAACTGGAGGCAGCAGGGAATAGAAACGCAGTATAGACAGCGGCCGAGGTACCAATGGCAGTGCTTCTACGTGCGTCCTTCCAGCGTATCCGCTTCGCGCGTCACCAATACTGTATTTCGCATTCGCTCCCAACGTCGTGCACGCGAAACCGCTCGTCGGGCCGCCACGTGTATGGCGTGTGATTGGCGATTGCTTTTAGTCCAGTGGGATTGGCTAAAATATATGACAAACACGGCGTGTGATTGGACGACATATTTAATTGCTGCACAGATCGAGCACAAGGCCGATCCGGCACGAGCACGACGACGAGCGACGAGCACGGAGCCTGCATGCGGACGAGCAGGAAGCGCTCGGCGGCGCCGACCGAGGCCGACTCGACGAGCGCTTGCTTGTGGCTGCCCCATGAGGCCATGACGGGCGACGACGTCACGTGCACCGCCGAGGGCCGGCTGCCCGTCCATCGTAGCAAGGAGCATATATACACGTATCAATCTCCCTCAATCGTAGCGACGAACCGGCCGACGATTCTTCAGCGACTGACGCTGCGCATTGCCAGCATTGCCGCGCAGGACTCGCTCGTCATGGCTGCGGCGGCGACCCTGCCATGGTCGTGGTACGTGCCCGGATTACGCAAGCTGATAGAGACGCTTGTGCCATCACTCGCGGTCGTCGAACCGCACAGCCACGTGCCCTTTGTGCGACGCTCGGTCGCATTGCACTCGACTTGGGAAAGAAGTTGGAGCGAGCAGCCATTCAGCGCCGGACCCAAGACCATCTGTTTCACAACCCACACAGTTGACTTTGCACTTTGACACCATGACCGACACTGCCGCGGTAGAGCCCGCCGTC